CGTAGGCATAATGTGTGTGGGAAGCATGAAGTGCTTTGAACACTCCCATTCTTTGGGTGACGGAGATTTATAGTATTTTATATAAATTTTTATGTTAAAGCAAAGTTTTTTAATTGATACAAACTGCTGTGCAAAGTATGGGTGATATTGATTTACCTGTTAAAGAGATATTTGGGGATAAGTTACGCGACAATATTTTTACTGCAATAGATTCGGCCAAACTTTAAAAAATGCCGTTCGTAGCATTTTTGTGGTCAAACTGTTCATATGGAGACTAAACTTATCATCTCTAAGTTGACAGAATTAGATACAGTGAAACAAAACAAAAAAACAAGCACCCAGTTTAGTAATTGTTCATTAAATTAAACACACATTATTTCTTATTTAAAGCAACAATAATCTGCTAAATCAAAGTATTTTGTGAAAAAGGATATTTTAAAAAAATAGAAGATTACAAAATCTCTCTGATGAGTTAAGACACAATGGTAAATCCCTATGCTGCAATCTAACAGAGACAAGAAAAATGTAATAAATAATAATCTGGCAGTAGTTCCTGTTGAAAAATTACTTATAATAAAAAAAACAGACATACTTTTCAACAATATTATGACAATGTGACAACAATCGTAAAAAGAGAGCCCAGTTTTACCCATCCAGGTGTTTAATCTTTGACAGGAATCTGCCCATAGAATAGACAAGATGGGCAACGAATCAAGACAGAACAGTTCCAGTCTGTCCAGCTTTTGGTGAATTGAATGACCTAAAAGACAGAGGTAGGTTATAATATTCCCTACAGGACACAGAGCAAAAACAAATTAATACACATTATTTTCCAGAACAATAAAAACAAATTAAAAAATTAGAGCCTATGGAGAATCAATCCTTTAAAAAAAGCTTAATATTTTTAATTGAAGTTGTAATCAACTGTACTGTCAGTGGAAATACCTGCTCCATTCTCTGAAAATTTGCTGCAAGGATATTACAACTTAATGCATTACCCCTCTTTCAGTAAAGTATGAAGCAACCACTCTAGAGGAAGCTGATTTAAAGGAGTATGAGTCAAAGTGAAATGCTCCCACTTGACATAATTTAGGAGGATTTTTTAAAGAGGGTGTGGGGTTGGGGGGGGGGGGGTTCATATCTAAACATGTTTACCATATCAATCAATAACACAAACTGAAACAACTAAAAACCTTTCCAGCCAATTAGACCCAGATTCAAATTCCAACACAAGATGTCAGCGTTTAATTTAGAGTATTGTCAACATGGAAGGAAGTTTCAAGGAGGGGGGGTCCCAAAAATAAAATGATACCTATAGTACATGTATTACTACTGCTGCAGTAATCATAAAAACATGATTTCTGAAGGCTACATCCAAACAGATTGCTTCATACATGAAATTCAATTTGATTGTCACAATTCCTGTGTATCCTGTACTGCCATCAGTGCAGATCATACTTTATTTTATTGCAAATGGTTCTTCAAGATCCTTGTCTAAAAAAATCTCAGGCATATTATCTCGTACTGTAGGCCTACTGTATCAAAACAGCTGGGATCAGGTAAATGACTGTTTTGTACAAATTTGAGATTTGTTGTGAAAGTTTTGAATTGTGCTCCCCCCACTACTGGCGTTAGGCACTTCTGCATCGCACACAGGAAATCTGAGTTCAATTCGCATGTGTGTGTGCGTGTGTGTGTGTGTGTGTGTGTGTGTGTGTGTGTGTGTGTGTGTGTGTGTGTGTTTGTGTGTGTGTGAGTGTGCGTGTGTGTATGTGAGTGTGTGTGTGTGTATGTGAGTGTGTGTGTGTGGGGGGGGGGGGGGTATAAGATTTGACGAGATGTATACCTCTCAGTCCAGATTGGCCAGCTATAACCTGAGGCAAGATTTAAGCAGCCTGTCTCCTTAAATCACCTAAACTGAATCAAAAGGGACATTAAACTTCTACAATTTTTTCCTCAAACATGGCAACTGATTAGAGGGTGCTTGTAGTGCATTCCATTTCTTTTCTCTTCCCTTGCATAATTTTCTGTCAGTCTGCCTTTTTCTATCCGGGGCAAAATAACTGTTATGACGTTGATTAGCTTCTCTACCCTCAAACTTAACTCTAAACTAATCCTCATAAATCACACGACAGTCACTTCTGACAACATGGCTGACAACAGGTATCTTAAATGAATTACAAAGACAAGCACACGTTTCATGATTATGTAAGGTTATCTATCGTCATATAAGTCTACATTAAATTTAGCTTGGCATTTTGGGTGATGCTGATGATGATGCAAAGAAAGAAAGTAGCAGGATAGATTAAGTTGAGATCATCATTATAATATTAAAAACAGAGAGGTGAGGTAACAGCCATAGCACAGCTGTACAAGCTTGGCTTTAAATCTTCGTGTTCTACCATGTACTCATTTTACAATAATTATATTGCCACCGTTGGGATGAGAATGAAGTTGGCGAACTAACAGGGCTGGCAATTCAACGAGGTTCCTCTGCTATGCCCTTGTTGCCGAAGTCAAGGGACATGATTCTGCTGTGCAATCTGTGTTTGAAAAGAGTCTTTTTGATGGTAATGCACAAGTATTCAGAGCCAAAGTGGGGGCTATCGTGGCCTAGAGGTTAAGATATTGGCCTCTCATTCAAAGGTCCCGGGTTCAAATCCGGGTAGCGACCGAAACATTTTCTCTCTAAAATTGTCTCCTTTCACCTTTCCTGATCTATAGCAATGATGTTCTGTCTTCTGCTTTCGTCTCCACTTTCTGCCCCCATCCTCTCACCTCATTTGCCCCCTTCTCTGGGCTCCTGACTCTTTCTGCAGCCTTTCTACTGCTACTCCTTGGCTCCTACTTACTGCTGTCTTTCAGCCACACCCCTGATCTTCTGGTATGAAAGATCTACACCTAGCTTTCTCGGACAAGGGCGAAAAATCTCAGAGGTCCCGTGCACAAGTTTCGCACGATAAAGATCCCTTGGTGGTCTAAAATCGACAAGAGTAGGCTTTGGCCGCCGCCCGCGCAAAACTTAAAACTTCCTACCAACTGAAAAATGTATAATGTGTCCCGCGTGCTCATATGACCTTATGCCGTTTTGCGAGCGCCATAAAACACTTACCCGAAAGACAACAACAACAAAAAAAGAAAGAAAAAAAAAAGAAAAAGAAACAAGAGTCTTCTTTCTTTCTATGTCTATTTCTTTCTCATGGGAGAAAGACTACCAAGTAGCCAACCAGAGGTTGTTGTGCATTGTGTGCAGTAAGTACCTCTGACGGTCAGGTCGCTGGCAGTATGGCTGGGCAAATTCACATTAGTTAAAAAGGACTGTACAACAAGATTTGACAGTGCATGTATAAGATTGGTCAATGTAAGAATCCTTTTGAACCTTTAAATCTCAACCTAAGCAAACTAATGAAAACGTTTTAATTTCTACTTGAGATGAATTCATGTCAGAGAAATTTTGAAACTAGAACGTACTCAGATTTTGCCCTTAACCCTTGAACCTATTCTGAAAGGTAAAATAACAGTCACTTTACAAATCGTTTTAATCTCACGGAACTCAAATTCATACCAAGCATACTTCGAACTTATCTTGAAGTGGTTTCCAAATAAAAACTGATACCGCAGTCACTGGGGTGCATCCTTGAAAAACACATGACAACTGTAACTAAAACAAAGGGCGCTACTCCTTGGCAACCAGCAATGGTGTGTGGATTGTCTATGCTTGTGTATTATTCATGCATTTACCTGTAGGAATCAATTAAGAGGAATTAATTATTTTTATTTTAATTTAGTAGATAAGCTCAAAAGAAGTAAGACTGATGCCAATTAGTTTCGACTGTAGTGTCAGTTGAAAGCAATGCATGACTGTCTTAGCTCTATAATGTAGGTTGTGCTAAAGGCACGTGGGCAACTTGTTAAAAATAATTTTTGTCAGAGAACTTATGGCAACAAAGGCTGCTATTAGAGGGAAAACGTTGTTGTAAAGGAAAATTCCATTAATTAAACTTAGATTTGTGTTAGCGGAGGTTGCTCTTACTTGGGTTGCTGTTAATTGGATACAACTGTACCTCAGAGCTGTGAAAACTTGCACTCTCATAAATAGGCCTATCAAGCAAACATCTAAGACAACTTTTGTACCTATTATTTAGGAACTTATTCTGAAGTTAGTTAAAGCAAGGTTTTTTAAAAAATGGTATAAAGCTACTCTTAGTGGAATTTGATAATATCAGTACGGTCTGCCAAATAAAAAGAACTTTACTCTTCATAATTATTTCTATGGTGCTGAAATTGAAGCTTCAGAATTTAATCAGTTCAGACTCTTTAAAAACAGATGTACTGGTGCTCATGGTTATTCCAAGATCATCGCATTTGGCATGTTGTCCTTGAGGTATCTGCACACAGCTGAATTAGCTCCAGGACAGTTTGTAACTTCCAACTCCTGAAGCCTCTGGAGATGTCTAAGCCCGTATAATCCATTGCTTGTCAGTCTTCGGCACCCTATGAAGAAAGAGATTACAGGAAATGAAGAGACAGTATAAAACGTACTCTATCAGGGTTTTTTTAAAAAGGAAATGTATTGTCTTCACCTTCTTCACAGATGTAATTCGATTGACAGGAATGTTTTATCAATACAGTCCAAAGTTTTCGTGGTATTTGTGACTGCTCTCTGTTTGAAACTATCATTTATAGTGGACTGTTTTGACAATACAGTTGTATTGTCATCTCTGCTTCTCTGCCTCCTGTTTATGTATTCACATCTTGAGACCACCATACCCACATTTAAAAAATCTGCTCATTAAATATACTTTATTGCGTAAGACAACTTGATCTACAGGCATCAGTCAAGAGTGACCAATTACATAATGTAAATTGAGATCAATTCAAAGTTTGTAGATCTGAAAGGAAAACACCATATGTGAGTGAGTGAGTGTGTGTATGTGTGTGTGTGTGTGTGTGTGTGTGTGTGTGTGTGTGTGTGTGTGTGTGTGTGCGTGCGAGCGTGCGTGCGTGTGTGCGTGTGCGTGTGTGTGTTTGTGTGTGTGTGTGTGTGTGTGTGTGTGTGTGTGTGTGTGGGTTTGTGTGGTCGGTAAAGGCAAGGCTCGAGGCTAGGCTATGTGCTAACTTGCTACTGTCTCTCTGTTGTGAACTGCCAGTCGTGCACGGGATTTACGTAACGTTGGGTCGCGCATAAGGAGACACTTTCGTCGCTTCTGTCGCACGCGACTGAAAATTTGGGCGCGACATAGTCGCGCATAAGCCTATGTATCCTTAGTGGCAGAACATAAAGGTGGCCGAGTTCTATCACCTAACCACTAGGCGCCGTAAGTTATAGGAATCCATCTATACAATTTCTACAAGCGCACAGAGACACGGCCTACTCTCTGCGCCGATCTGCGGGATCGGGTGGCCCCTTTTTTTCGGAATGAAATGTTGATTCCTACTCACCGAAAGCCGCTGCTCGGTGCAAAGGAGTGCCCTGTCAGTGGACTGTCACCGGATGTTGGACATTATAGGACTGACCATTATCTCAACAAGGAAATGTCGTAGACAGAATCTGATTAGATATTTGAAATCAGCGATCCAAATTCTACAGGTTCACCGAGCAGAATTTGAGTTTGTGATGTATTTTAAAAAAATCAGTAATAATAGGATTTTATTTATCCACAGATTGTAGTTATTGAGTTCAGAAGTGTGCTCAGTGTGTGTGTGTGTGTGTGTGTGTGTGTGTGTGTGTGTGTGTGTGTGTGTGTGTGTGTTAAAAACACAGTTGTTCACATATTTTGTTAATATTTTAACGTGAACCGTGCCTTGGTTTCCACTGTATGCAAACGGTCCCCTGTATGGGATAAAAGAGATCCATTTTCAGCAAATCTACATTGAGGTAAAAACAAAAATTTAAATAAGTAGCATGTGCATACCAATTCGTTTCTTCTTTTATTTTGGAAGAATGCATGCTGGAATTTACAACACGACAGTCGTTCACAACATGACAATTAAAGTAAATCCTAACTTGTCAAATCTTGATCTAGTTCAGAGAAACAGTCTACATGCGCAGAAAACATGTGTCCTCTATGTTTTACCATCGGCGCCGAGCGAATATGTCACCGATAGGCCGAAACATATTCGATGGCCTCTCTGTCCTCGCCCTTTTATGCGCGACTCGACGTAACGTCGCGCGCGACAGTCGCTCGCGATCGGTGCCGAGGCGTGTATCCGTAGAGCGAGGGCAAAGAGGCCTCCGAATATGTTTCGACCTATCGGTGACATATGCGCTCGGCGGCGATCTTTCCGAGGGTAGAACATAAAGGACACATATTTTCAGTGCATGCAGGCTGTTCCTCTGAACTAGATCTAGATTTGACAACTTGGGCTTTATTTTAAGTTGTAAACGACCAGGGGCGGACTGGGTCTTAAACCGGCCCGGGCATTTGTCATCCGTACTGGCCCACTAAGGCCTAGTAAAACACGCAGAGCCACCATGTTTCTATGCCTCCATGCTATTTTTATGTTACTAGTTAGAGCACAGAAGCAGATGAGAACACACATGTTGTATTTGTGTGAGTTTGAATGAGTGCATACGTGTGGGCGCGTATTTGTGTGTGTACGTGTGAGTGTTCGTTATGTATGTATGTCATGTATGTAGGCCTATGTATGTATATATTATGTACATATGTATGTGTGTGTATGTGTATACGTATGTATGTTCGTGTGTACGCGTGTAAGTGGGTGGGTGGGTAGGTAGGTAGGTAGGTAGGTAGGTAGGTAGGTAGGTAGGTAGGTAGGTAGGTAGGTAGGTAGGTAGGTAGGTAGCACTGGTCCTGAGTTGCTATGTCCTGCGCTGTGTCAATTTCCACAGCAAACATGTCTGTTATTTCTTCCGAAATGAAGCAACGGATCCTATCCCAAATAACCGTGATGATAGAATTCACAGTAGTTTTGAACAAAAAAGTAACAAATGAGTCTCTGCTTTTCGAACTGTTTGCCTTCTCATTTTTTTTGTCTTGCTGCTATGGACTACGCGAGAGAGGTGATCAGCTGTATCACGGTCAATTTTTGCATTGTCCAAAGTGTAGGCTGCATCTTCCGTACTTCCTCTGTAGCTTAGTCCTCTACTTTTGCCTATGAGTTTAACTACGTCCACAACTCGATTCATCACTTGCCGTTTCTTTCTGACTTCATCACAGTAGCCCTTCGCCAACACGTGAGAAATGCTCGACTGTTTTTTTTCTTCCTATCAACTAGGTATGCTGTTGAGCATTGCAGATGAAAAGACGAATGTTCATGCTGTTCAATACGAGAATGTACATGCCGCAAGTCTTTCATCCCCTCAAGGAATGAGGGTGTGTCTGAAGTGGCAGAAAACACCACGCAGACAGAACAGGGAAGTGCATGGGAGTCTTTGTTGTAAGACAGCCACCGTCTGTTAGAACCGTCTGCATGAATGAAACATCTTTGCACCACTCGATTATCTGCCTTCTGACATGGATGGTGATTCCAAAACAACAACCTTCCTTCTTCTGCGCATGGTTTCTTAAAGTAATCAATCCTGAAATCTTTACTTCCTGTGGCTTCAAGTTCAGTATGTGCAGTCTGTTCTGTGCTAGCCAGGGCCAAAGCTTTCCTTTCTCTTGTTGGATTAATTTATCTCATTTTACCTGATGATTGTCCAGGAACTAATTCACCGCTTTTGTCCACCTCGTCAAGTTCAGTTGCTTCACCTGCTGATAGATCAGCAGCAGCTGCCAATCCACTACTTTCGTCCACTAGGTCAAAATCCGTTGTTTCAACAGCTGAAGGTCTGCTGCATAAATGTGCCACCTTACTCCAGCAGCACGATTTCATTTTCCCCGTGCAGTTACGGGCCAGTTTTGTACCTTTGTTTACAGTAATCACAACATTTTTACGAGTTTGAGAAGAAATCATACATTGATCCAACCAAAGAGTTAACAATCTTGGATTAATAACTAAATAGGCCTACATGTTGTAAAATACTACTACTCGCCGTTTTGTCTTCTTGAGACCCAAAAACAGGAAAATTTAAGGTTGACTGGCAAAAAAGCTGGTTGAAACTCGTGCAGCGAATTAAGCGGAAACGGAATGCCTTCCCGTGATTTTGTAACATCTTTCTGAACGTAACACAATAGGTCTACGTCGGCCGCCGTAATCTCAGTCAAGTAGGCAATGAGAAAAAATCATACGTTTTAAAACGTTATTTTTTTCGAAGTTACAAGTAGATTTCTTAAACATTGAAGAAAAAAGAGTACTGGTCTTATAAACACAGTGATCTGGTGACAAATTTTTTAAACCAAGCGGCCCACTTTGTCCTTTAAGCACCGGCCCACTTTGTCCCTTCGGCACCGGCCCAGGGGGCATGTCCATAGGCCAGTCCGTCCCTGTAATCGACTGCCGTGTTGTAATTTCCAACATGCTTTCTTCCAAAATAAAAGAAGAAACGAATTGGTATTGCACATGCTACTTACTTTAATTTTTGTTTTTACCTTAATGTAGAATTGCTATCTATTTTATCCCTTACTAGAGACCGTTTGCACAAGGCACTGTTCACGTTAAAATATTATTGTTTCTTGAACATACACGCGCTCACACACACACACACACACACACACACACACACACACACACACACACACACAACACACTGAGCACACTTCTCAACTCAATAACAACAATCTGTGGATTAGAAAAATAAAACATTATTAGTGATTTTTTTAAAATACTTCACAAACTCGGTGAACCTGTAGAATTTGGATTGCTGCTGTAAAATATCTAATCAGATTTTATCAACGGCGTTTTCTTGTTGAGATAATGGTCAGTTGAAGAAGTCCCCAGCCCAGCCCTATGGTGTCACACGTCCTGTGACAGCTCACTGACAGGGCACTCCTTTGCACCGAGCAGCTGCTTTCGGTGAGTAGGAATCAACATTTCAATCCTATAAAAATAAGCCGCCACCCGATCCCGCAGATCGGCGCAGAGAGTAGGCCGTATCTCTGTGCACTTGTAGAAATTGTATAGATGAATTCCTATAACTTACGCGCCTAGTGGTTAGGTGACAGAACTCGGCCGCCTTTATGTTCTCCCACTTATGCAAGACTACGTCGCGCCCAAATTTTCAGTCGCGTGCGACAGAAGCGACAAAAGTGTCCCCTTATACGCGACGCGACGCGTCGTTACGTAAATCCCGTGCAAGACTGGCAATTCACAACACACACACACACACACACACACACACACACACACACACACACACT